GAGCTCCATATAAACATCTGGATTAGAATCCCAGATTAACGAACAGATTCTAAAGTAGTTTTTACCACAACACATTACCAATTGTTTTCTTACACAAAAATTACGTCAATAATTACTGCTCCCCTAATGAACATCACATGATTTATTTTTTTTTAAAGGAGCAAATATAATCTAATCTACCAGAGATGTTACATTATTAAAACATATCCTGAAATCAACAACACTCAAAGCTCTATCATGACATTTTGTTCTTCACTGGTATTTACAGTATTACAGTTCTTACGTATTGCTCTGGAAATCAGCTTTGAAGTAAAATGATGAAGATTTATTATTACTATCCTTATTAGAGGGATTTTAAAGTCATTAGAGACCAACAAGGCATAATAATCATATTATATTCAATCTTCTCTAGAACATCTTCTTTGATAGGCCTGCTAACTCAATTATTTAAATATACATTACAACAAAATGCAGGGTGCCTTCTACAGTTTGTGATGAAACAGAAATTTTAATGTTTTGTTTGCAGTTAACCAGAATTTGTTCCTACACAATCCATGGGTCTCATGGTGAGTTTCTTGGTTTTAAACATGAGGGATTCAAACGGACAGTGCACACCTGGCTCAATGTGTCTCCTCAATTGAAAAGAACATTAAAAGCTGGGGAAGAAATAAGGCACTGGAGCATAATCATAACCTGCAGTGACTTTCGGAAGTCCAAAAAAAGCTCTCACAGAAGTGTTGATCTCTCCAATAGTCATTAGACTTGGCTACAACCAACCACCAGCAGTAAAAAAAGGAAAAAGCATTCAGAGGCTCTGAGGAAGAGCAAAAGCTGTGAACTGTACCACTCTGAGCAGCTCAGAAAGTGTTCCCTGGATCCAGTGTCACCTACAGTCAAGCAAAACCCACTGGCCAGGAAAAAATGAAAATCCAGACATAGTACACCTGATAACTGTCTCCTTTTCTTCTGCAGAAGGTTGGATTAACCATAAGACAAACATTCCAACCCCTGAGGACAGCTTTGGAAACGTTAAGTGATCTTCAGACAGGCCACCTTCGGAGGGCTTGGAGGGAGGGCTTCAGAGCAAACACAAGGCTCACGACATGTTATATGAGTGGCAACAAAAAGGCAGAGGGCAAAGCTGCAGCCTCGCTGGCACTAGTAATGCCTGCAGGGCTTCTCTGCCTACTTCTGCCCTGTGAGGAAGAGGAGAAAGTATGGAAGGACTGCAAGGATGTTCACAGCAAAGGAAGGGAAAATTGACGACACAGTAATGATGCTCTTCTGGGAAGTTCTGTGATGTGAGGAGAGGATTGTTATCCAAGGCACAGAGGGCAAAAAGCTGCATAGCAGTTACTGGTGTCCTTTCCACCCTTCCTTTCCCATGAAATCCTGTTCCATGACTTAGAGCTTACCTAAAATGAGAAGCCTGGAGACATCACCATGTACACAGTTCTGAGACTGCCTCAATGCCTTCTTTGGTTCAGACAATGAAGGATATTTCCCAGACTCCACTACACGTACAACAGACCTTGTTCTCAGCAAGAATCCATCTTTAGCTACAGCCACACAGGTCTGCTCCACTTACCCCAGCAAACATCCTCATTCTAGCTACGTCTCTTTTCCATCAGTAACAAGGTGGAACCTAATAGCCCCAGGTTATGACTAACCCCCTTCTTCTCTGACCTCTGAAACTTCCATCATATCCAACCTTGGCAGCAGGGATGGTATGGAGCAGCCACACGCTTGGCATCGCTGTAGGCAGGCACCAGCAGTTCTCATTTCCTACCTGAAAAACAGCTGCAACGGCAGTGACGGCTATCTCCTTCATCCCTTGGTAGGTAGGTCTTCTTGCTATCATGAAGCCACAGTTACAGCAGTGGAGCCAAGTGAAAAAGCTCTTGAGAACCAAAGGAGACAGAGCTCACAGAAGATCACAGGAACATCTGCTTGTCAGAGCACCCACTTGTGGAAAAGGATGGTGTGTGTAAAAGCTAGAAGTTATTCCAGCTTTGTGGCTCTTGCTTTCCTTCAACCATGCGTTACAAAAATCCTTAAGTGGCAAAAACACTCCCAGCAGCCTAAGGCAAAGGTACGAGCAGAACTAGTGAGAACCAAGTCAAGTATTTTCATCTCTCTCCTCATTCAAAACAACCTACTTAATGCAAAAGCAGGGTGGAAAACACAGTCCTTACTATTGATTCCTTTTGGAACTTGTCTGCAGGTGATGTTCAAAGAAGAAAGAAGAGTGCCAGTTCCATCTCAGACGCGAGGCAAGCAGTGAGGGGCAACACACTGTACGTCACATCTTTCAGGTGAGGTAAGGTAGCACCAGCACCAAGGGGCTTTTTTTGAATCCCATTCTTGCTGTTCCAAGTGCTTCAGGATTTCCTCCAGTTACAAATCATCTGAGACAAACTCCTACCACAAAACTACTTGTCTTACCAACCGACTCTAATTAATTCCATTTCTATTACCTTCTTGTTTCATCTGATTTCTCTGCCACTCACCTTGGTCTTGGTTAGTTCCACAGTTAAAATTCAATCCCTACAGGCTGTAGAGATGCTCTGCTCTTGGCCACTGGCTGGATGAGACACTTCTGTAGCTTCCAAGCAGTAAGCAAGGAAACATTCAGTAGGTCTTGGCACCTGGCAGTGGATGGGGAAAAGCATGATGGAAGTATTGCAGTGTTCTCTACCCTTTGTTGACTCTCTGCATCCTCCCCTATATCTGGGAGCTTATTCTGCTAAGCTCCATCATCCTAGCTGCAATTACCATTCAAATCCAGCACAACTACGCTCTCTCCTTGCAGGGAGTTGGTTGTGAGAGCCTTCTGACACAGCGCAGAGTGACTTCCTCCTTGATGACTTACAGAATAACTGCAGATATGTTACATAGAATTCAGGTGTCACGCCAGGAAAGTTTAATAGAAAATGAAGCAGGCAGAATACTCTGGGCTGTCAGACCTACCTTGTACCACATAATGCAATCAGCCACTACAATTTACAGCACGGAAGAAGGGGGATTAGGAACAGAACTCTCTCGTTTGATAAATCTCTAGGCATTTGGCAAGTCCAGAAGACTGTTAACAAGGATGATAAATATAATCTTAAGGTGTAATTTTCTTGCCTCTATCTTCACATCAAAAATCGTGTTCAGGAACTATGCAAGGCATGCTACACATGAAACATGCCGCTTCCAGCCAGGCATCTAAGCTTCCTGGCAATCATTTATAGGTCCCAAAAGGATAGCAGTAAAGCCAGGCACCTCCAGCTCACCTTTCTCATTCACCCAGTTCCTGAGCTGGAGTCTGTCCCTCAGCAGCAAGGAAGAAACGCACCTTCTGTGCCCATTCCAGTTGTCACTCAACAAATCAACGAGTCCCAGACACCAGTGGTAAGTAAACTCTGCTAAAGGAGGATCCGTCGCTCAACTGGATTTTTAACTATCACAAACAGCGTACCTGAACTAAAACATGTACCAGAAAATAGATGACTGCAGGTAGTATTTCTGATATTGGAAGATTTCTGTAAAATAGGGAAGATTAACAGTCCTCAGAAGGATCCCAGAAAAGCTAAATGATACCACTGACACCAGTCCAGCTCTGCAAAGTGGCAATTCTTCAAAATCCCTTCAGTATTCTTGATCTTCTGCCTCCAGAAGTTACTTTAATTTTCTTGTCATTAAAGTTAGGATCTTTTGGCAGTTTAAAAATACTACTAAAAATGCGGAGACACGTATTGCCAAAACTGCTCCATTGCTAAACGTTAGCTAAAAGATCAACTCAAATTCGTTTCAGAAACTAAGAGAGCTTTTTGTTCATGACAGCACTTAAAGCCTGTTTTAAATAAAACTAACATACTGAACTCAGCTCCAAAACTGGCATCTTTCAGGCTCACGAAGAAGTACATGTGGGAAAATAACACGCAGTTTAGGCTTGAAGCTTCCTGAACAATTTGTTTCTCTTCAGAATAATACTTCGGGTATTCTTACTTTGGGATCAATTGCTGCAAGCCAGCCCCCAGAAAGGTTGAAAAAGTAAAATATCATTGCTTTTGAAATTAAGGGGAGGTATTTTTTGCTGCTAGATGTGTCATACCCACTTCTGCACAAACAATTGCTATAAAAAACACCAGAGAAGAGAAGTTTGGCATACTCAGTAGCAATGCACCTATTTTAAGAACAGTACCAAGTTGCTGTAGTCACAGTAAGGAGTTTTCAGATAAATATCTGGGCAGAACTAGAACTCTCATTTCTGAATAATCTTCCAGACAGTTCCTAATATTTTAAAAACTACATTACCATTTAGATCATTATCTAAAAACTATTTAGCCTGTATTGTCAGAATCTGGAGAAATAATCCTGCAGTTGGCCATACATTTTATCTACAGACAACTTTTCCTTTCCCGAAGCCTAAGTGCCTGTGATCAGACCCTGACTCGAGACCTCTGCCCATACAGTGCTGGGCAGTTTCCATGCCATGCTCCCAGCCTCGCAGTACCACCGACTCCTTCCCAGAAGGGTATTTCCAGTCTCACTGTACCTTCAAACCTTGTTTGCTACAGGATTCCAGCATTAGTGTTTTATTGCTTTACAGAACAATAGTACTAGGGAATTCTCTTTCTTACTATTTTTTTTTCGCTTTGTTTTTAGTAAATGAGTCAAGCATTTTGGCACCTAATGACAAATATATACACACAGACATATATATATAAACACAGGGGGGTTGTGCAACTGGCTGTCTTTGAACTATCCTAGTACTTGAGAAGTTAAAGACAGGGCAGTACTGTACGTCACTCAGAAGGTTAATCTGCCGCTAAGGATTTCACCCCAACCTCTACTTCAGCTACCATGGCACTATCCCTAGAAGGGTCCAAGTGCATTATTATTGTGATGTAGTCTAACATCTCCCTTTCTATTTTGTGAAAGGTTAAGGCTCCCAAAAATACCTTCCAGACCATTTGTGATGTTGGAAAAAGGTAAAATCCCACACCACTTACCACCAAACACATCGCCGTTCTGATAGTTTTTCCCCTTCTGAGTTTCCTCTTCATTTTGAACAGTAGAAACATGCTTGGCTGACGCACAGCCCATAGCTTCATTCAGACAGCTCCAGCTGGACTGAACCACAAATCATGTCTAGAGACGCATGCTCATTGTTTTAAAAATAATCCACCTTCCTGCGTGGTTGTCAAGAGGCTTTTACCTAAAAGACAGCATAAGAGAGAAAAATATTGAACTATACGTATTGACAACATGGAACCGCTAAATGTAGTGCTTCCAGAAAGCAAAATAATGGGGTTTGAGGAGTACGAAAGCACAGTCTGTCTCCACTCTATTACATTTTTAAAATATATTCAGTAATACCTATCAGTACTGTATGGGTGGAGTCAATCCTGAAGTCCCTTCCAGCCCTTCTCTTTAACCTGGGGCTAGAAGAAAGCAAGCCACACGCAGATATGTTTCCCACCCACCCATCTATTCCCACAGAGTGCTTTTCTTGTTGTGTTTTTTTGTTTTGTTTTGGTTTTTTTGAAAGAAGATAAGAAACTGGCAATATCTTCTTCTACCCTTTTAAACAATCTACGCATTAAGCCAGATTCCTAAGAAAGTGTTTTGGTGATTAAGAGCTTCTAACTGCAAGTGTTCAGAGAAAATAACCCCCTAAATCAATTAAAGATCTTATGTTAATAGATGTGAAAGAGGAGAGCCAGCTCTATTATCTTTTTCCTATGTTATCATTACTCCACCAGATCTGTAAAATCTCTGCCTCTCAAAAAGGCAGCGATGCCCATTTTAAGACAGAATAACGCTCCCTGAAGAACCCAGATGTCACATAAAATAAAAGGGAGGAGAAAAAAAGCTAGCTTACAGCTGCTCCGACGCACCCAGTCCCTGTTCTCTGCAGCCCTCCACGCACTTGCTCTGTGTGACAGCATCCTTTTTTTCCACCCTCCCTCCCAGATACATGCCCTGAGCACAGCCTTCCCCTTCTCCCATCCTTCTCTCCTCCCTCAGCTCCCAGTGCTCAGTGGCACCCCACTGCCATCCGTGGGAGGGAATGAGCAGACCTTGAGCTGCCTTCCCTCCTCCAAGAAATGTATGTATTGTTTTGCCCTATAAGGTTACGTATGTTTTTTCAGCGCAAACCTAGGTTTTGCAGGAGAGGCTAGGATTAGGCTAGGGAAGCTCTCTGCTTGCTCAAGCAGTGGCCGAGGCCCTTCTCCAAGCTGCCTTCAGTCTGCTTGGCAGAGGCACAGACAGAGCCGTGGCCCTGCTGAGAGCCAGCTAGTTCTCAGTACTGCTCCATGTGTCCCGGAGCAGTCAGTGCCGGGAGCAGGCTGTCAAACTGCACTGCCACGTGTGTGCCTCCTCGGTCTGTAAACCCCCGTGTCCTGACATCCACCAGGGCGAGCAGCTGCTCAGTGACACAAACCACACGTACTGCATCACGCGGTGCTGGTTTTGGGGAGGGGATGTTTTGGGGGGGCTACACAAGCACCAAGTGTGCAGAAAATTAAAGGGCTCAAAGCAAGCTGCAGCACCATGTAGACATCTCAGTTGCAGCAGGGATTATTCAGCTCCAGGGCTTTGCCACTGCAAAAGGGCAGATATGGGAAAACAATGAAAAATGTTAGAAAAGGGTTCGCCTTAATCACTGATTAGTGCCCTGTGATGGCCCTGTCACCCACGATCAGTTGCTGCAGAAGGGAACAGGAGCAAAGCAGCGCAGAACACGAACACCTCAGGCTAAAGCTCTTTGGGGAAGGAAGGAAGGAAAAACCATCCCCAGCCACATCTCCTGCGGTACCTTGTAGCCTTCCTAAAAATACGGCTCTGTCGGAAGGCAGGCTGTGATGGAAGAGAAGCATCACAAATATGGGAACTGAACATTTTTATCTTTTGCATTAGCAGTGTCTGAAAAGAAATACACACAACTAACACTTGGATACTGGGCGGCAATTCTGGTGCCAGTAAACAGGGCTAAGAAAGCTCTTCCGAAACGATCTCCCACACACATATCCAGGTGCATTGCTGGGACAAGCGTTAATACAGAGCAGCAAAATAGATGACACTGCAAAGAAAATCAGCATTAATTCTACAGAAGGGAGAAAATCCGTGACGCTCCAGCTCTCTTCAGCCTTTCCTGTCCCAGCAGTGGCAAGGTTCGGGAATTGCTCCAAAATGAGGTGCTGGTCCTCACCCAGTGGGCTGCCTGCTGATCGTTTTGGCAATGCAGCACTTGAAACGGCAGTGGAATAACGTGTCCACGTGGCCTGCTCCCCCACTTCTCAAATATAATTTTCCTTTTTGTCTTCCTAAGCATTTTAGGGGCATACAGATTTCAGAATAAAAAGCGTAAGAAAACCTTCAACCATTTGCCATTCATGTTCACCACCCACCATCATTAATTATCAAGATTTGAGAGGCAATTTACAAGCTCTGATCTGCAAAACGCTAGTGATAAAAACCTCTTCAACAGATCAAAAGTGTCTACACCACCCCCAAATAAAATGTGGCAGCTTTACTATTAACATCTTCGGTGCAGGTCAAGAGAAGATGGCTGTACTGGCTCTCAGATGCTGCATTTGGTCCCCCAAGTTTCATCTGAGTGCTTTCAAAAGGGGAGCTCGTTATTAGGGTAGATATTGCCATTGGAAACCTTAAGCAATTCCCTGATATCAGATGGAGCATGTCCAGTGTTTTGCAGTAAATGAATGTTTATTCTTCTATTACCAGAGGTGTATTTGTTTTCATCTTTTTTTTTTTTTTTTCCACTGAGATAACCAATCTTTCATCTTCTTCATGTTGCAGATACATCTACAAGCTTCTTTCTGTGCTGACCACACAGGAAATTGGGTAAAAATTTCACAGAGCCAAAGAGATCAAAGCAATGAGCTTTCTGCACCTGTGAAAAAAAAAAAAAAACCTAAGCTACACAAGAAAACCACCCTATCTTTTCCTGTAACACAGCGCAGTCCAGACAGAACCCAAGGATTTAACTTACTGCTCTTAATTATATGTACTTCTTATAAGAAATAGGTCTACTTGGCTTTCAAGTTATTTTTTCTGATCAAAGAGAGCAGCACCATCTTCTGAATTTGCATTCCACAAGGGTCATTGGAGGTTAGTACCACAGTCCCTCCACTATGATATCCCTCTTCTTCAGCTACCCCCACCCACCTGTGCCACAAACAATGGCTTTTTTTACTGTTTTTCAACTGCCAAAAGACATTTTTGAGCCAAACAGAGAGAAATTTTGCCTTTGAAGTGCACCAATGGCCAAAGGGAATAAGAAAAAAAACAAACAACACAGCTCTCTTTAAATTATTCAAGCCAGTATTGCTGGTGGATAGCAAAGCAATATTGAAAATTAAGCCATGAATTACTAAACAAGAGGGGTAAGGTTACAGGAGAATAAGGGTGGCAGATGCTGGAGCAACGCCTTGCAGAGGCAGGAAGGGAAAAATAAAAGTCAGGAAAAAAGGAAGAGGGAGTAGTGATGCTCTGTTCCTTTGACCACACAGCCACAAAGTACTCCCTCTGCCTGCTGATATTACTAGCCATGACATTAAACCTTTTCTCCCTTCCATGAACCGTTTGCCCCATGATGCAAAATTCCTGTGCTTATTCCTGCATTTTAGTATCAAACTGGAAACATGCTGTTCTGGCCAGCTGGGCAAATGCAGCGGTAATCTTGATGAAGAGAAAAAGAATGAGTGCAGTGCTGTAAAATTAATAATGCACAAGGAAACAAAGAGAAAGCACACCACATTTGTATAGCATTTTACTCAACCTGCACTAAAAATACCATCAACAAACTAACCAAACCCAGCCAGTCAGTCGGACGGAGGTGGAATTGACACTTGAAACACAATTTGCGTGCATCCTCTCTTGCAAAGCCATGCTCAGCAGAACTGGTAGCTTAACCAGTCACATTGCAAAGGACAAACAAGACGACTCTGATTTGACAGCTAAGAGATTGGGCAGAAAAGGCACATAAGCTCACTTACCTGGCTTTTCCTAGCAAGGAGGGCCTGGCTTGAATGAATGCTAATAATTAGCATCACCAGGTTATTATAAGACAGACTTTGTCCCACTGAGGCTAATATTACCACTTCTGTGTGAAAAATTAGTGGTTTTTTGTTTGTTTGTTTGTTTTGTGTATCTTTTTTTTTTTTTGGCAGTCAGCATTTCTCCAGTGCATAGTTTTGATGTATGAAAGCAACAAGTATTTTCTGTACAGAACAGCTCTCGACAACAGCGTGGTACTTGTGGGAGCGTTTGCTCCCCATTCAGTCTCATAAGGGCAAAGAGTAGTAGTGAGCCCCTGGGATGAGATTTCATGCACAGTAAAATAGAAACGAGAAAGGAAAGGGGAATTGCATTGCAATCTTGCTCTGAATTCATACAGGGTGGGTTAAAGTGGCAGCAACTGGAAAAGACCTGCTACCCAGGAGCAAGTCACAGGACCTACAGCTTTTGCTTTTTCTACATAAAGTTAATTTTTTCCTGTTATTTTTCAAAACCCCAAACACCTTAGGAGAAGCAACAGGAAGACTACCACCACCATTACAAAATGCAGTTCAAACATCTAAATAATTCTCCTAGAAAGAGGGGGAAAAAATAACACACAAAATATTGAAGAGATGAGACTTTGAAGAGATGAGGTGAGACTTTGCAAGACTATGGGCTGGCAAAATCACGCAGGAGACAGTATGTTTCTGGTGAGAAATCAAGCGTGTTGTACAGCGTATTTCACCTGTACAGCTGTTTCCTTTTCCACATCTGTCCCAGTGCTACAGCTCTCTTTACCATAGTAGATGCTGTTACTCTTCCAGGATTTCCAAAGAATCAGGACTTTCATCCTACATTCTTGTCCTTCACAGAAAACAAGCCCTTTTCATTAAAAGAAAGAGGACATGGAAATTAAGCTGCATTTCCCACTTCTCTGTGAGCAATTGCTACATCTGCTACAAAGACATTACAGAATCACGGTGGAGACCCTTCCACAACAGAGAAAGCATTCAGGTACAGCGTTTTGCTATCAAACACATTTCAGAGCCTATTTCAGAGCTGGTGGGTTTCTGCAGTATCTCAGTCCATTACACAGTACTTCGTTCAGGTTACAGTCAGAGCTAACTGATTGAAAATCCAATACAACACAGCTTGAGGGACCTGATTAAAGGCAACAAGACCTTTTCC